GATTGCGGTGCCCATCAATCGGTAATGCTGCAGGATGGGAAAGTGTCCAGCGCCCTGCCGAAGGCCACTTGGATCTAGGGATGTTACATTTTGATTAACTGGCTAATCAAACAGTTGATGCAATTTGCTTCCACTATTCGACTAGTCGATGAGGGCGCTGCCGCCTTTGAAGTGCAGCAACAGCCCCGGGGGTGAAAACAGCAAAGGCGAAAGCGCTGCGGGAGCACGGGGCCAGCGGGGGACTCAAGCAAGAGGCAGCAAGGGGGGCGGGAAGCGACGAGCTGACTAGGCAACTAGTCATCCACATCCCTACGTGGCTCCTTTCTGTCGTGGCCAAAGGGCCCTTGTGTGGCTTGAGGAAGACTCACGTTGCAAGGGACAGCTGGGTTGTGATAAACCTAAAGGACTTTGCCGATTACCGTTGTCAGTCTGCTCTAACCACTTCGCTGTGCTGCGACTTCCTGGCTCAGGGGTTTGAAAAATCTCTCACGCACGTGCACACGCATGCACAGATACACGTGTGCACACATGCACGCACAGACACACATGTGCACACACCTGCACACGCACACCCAGAGCAAGTTACAGTGCTGTGAAGTGCCAGTGCAAATGAGTGCAGCACTGGGAGCCGCTGGCTTTCTCTCGGAGGTGGTTTGCCTGGCGCATTGCTCCTGTTCTGCCACAGCCCCCACTGCTAGAAATGGATTTTCTACCCTGGGGGCTAAACAGTCAATCATTCTTGTAAAGCAAAATTTAAAAGGAAAAAGAATCATTCTGGGCCAATGAAATGTTTTGGGGAAATTTTGGCTTTTTTATATTTTTTTAAAATTTTTTCTACTTCAACAACTCATTTCAAAATGAAAAATCCAAACTTTTCATCCTGAGAATGGTGAAGTGAGATGCTTTTGAAGGATTTTTCCAATGTTATTTTCTAACTAAAACCAATACCATTTCCCCCACGCACTCAGGGTGTGTCTAGACTACAGGGTTTTTTCGAAAAAACTTCCCTTGCGTCTAGACTGCTGCCACGTTCTTTCGAAAGTAAATTGAAAGAGTGCGGCAGTTTTTTCGACCGCGGAAAACCTGGTTTTACGAGGAAGACGCCTTTTTTCAAAAGTGCTCTTTCGGGCAAAGGCGCTATGTGATGCAAAGTGCGTCCAGACTGCCTGGGTGCTCTCTCAAGAAAGTGCCTTGCTTTTCGAAAGTTCTGGTTGTAGGGTAGACGCTCTTTTTCGAAAGAGGCTTCCAGTCTAGACATAGCCCCAGATCCAGTTTGTCAGAACATCATCCTGGATGAAATGCTACTTGGATGAAAATGCTCTAAGCCGGTCTGCTGGTGGGGGCTGACCCGTGCCGGTTGTCCTTCCGCCATGTGTTGTACACACCCATTCACTACCACGCAGCATGAACTCCAGTGTCCATGCCAAGTGGACCCAAGCGGGAAGTGTAGCCCCCCTTTGAAGATGTGATTTCTCTTTTGGATTGCTCAGGGACAGAGAACAGTGTTTAACAAACGACTCCTTGGATGTGTCCTGCCTTCCTGCAGCTTGGTAGCGTACAACCCAAGGAGACGTTTCCTTCTTTTCAAAGAAATCCACCCCCCAAATGCTCTCTTAAAAGGAGGGCGTCTATGGCCGAGTGCTGGGCGCTTTGTAGCTGAGGATGCTGGGGTGCAGACCGTGTGTTGGTTTGTGGAGGGAGCGCAATGAAAAGCAGGCGAGACTGAAGTGTGTGCAGACACGGAGGGGAGGAGATGCTGAAGGGAGAGAGAGGAATTGCTCGGGGATGTAAAGGTGGTGGAACTCAGGTTTTGTCTACACTTCATAGCCTGCTCCACACTGGCGCTGTACAGCGCTGTCACTTGCTGCGCTCAGGAAGGTGTTTTTTCACACCCCTGATCCAGACAGTTACAGCGCTGGAAAGTGCCAGCGTAGACTTGGCCTGAGAGACACGGAATTAAACTGAAAGTGGAACCAACTGGGCTAAATCTCAGGCAGTGAGTCCAAACAATGAGTCCTGGGCCGGATCCTCCGGTGGATTGCCAGGGTGTAGCTACATGATGTCTCGGGATGTTGCCTACTTCCACCTGCGAGGCTCTGGGCCTTTGCTGGGACCAATCCTGCACCGCCCTCGTGAGCTGGCCGAGTCCAAACCGGCGTCTCCCTGGGGAGGCACTGGCCGTAGTGCTCTTGTTTCTGGTTTTTCCCAGCTCATGGGTTCGTTGTGGGCATGGACGTGACGACCAGAACAGCGCCGAGTGCCTGGCACAAAGGCAGTGGGACTTACGGGGGCTAGTCCATAGACTGTCCGCAGGAGCTAGCCAGCCCCGTAGGCTCAGCTCCAGTGGGGGGCCCACGGGGGCTGCCCGCTGGATTTTATGGGAGATGGGACGGAGTCGTGGGTTCTACCCTGAGCTGATGTCACGCGAAGAAGCAGCGTCCCGGTTGGCCTGGCGCAGGGATTTGCAGCTTGCCAGGGAGACGGGGCCTCTGATCCCATTTTCTTGCCTCCCTCCACAGTCCAGTCCTGCAATGTCCGGTGCATGAACGGGGGCAGCTGCAATGAGGAATCCTGCCTCTGCCAGAAAGGATACACTGGAGGGCGCGCGGGGGCGGGCCGCTGGATGTTATGGGAGATGGGACGGACTCCTGGGTTCTACCCTGAGCTGATGTCACGCGAAGAAGCAGCGTCCCGGTTGGCCTGGCGCAGGGATTTGCAGCTTGCCAGGGAGACGGGGCCTCTGATCCCATTTTCTTGCCTCCCTCCACAGTCCAGTCCTGCAATGTCCGGTGCATGAACGGGGGCAGCTGCAATGAGGAATCCTGCCTCTGCCAGAAAGGATACACTGGAACTTACTGTGGGCAGCGTGAGTACCTGCGTGTCCCCCCACCCCCGGCTTAGTCGTCCCCACTAGCCAGTGACTGACTCTCCCGTTGGGCTCCCCCCAGACAGCGGCAATGCCTGCGAGCAGCTGGGGTGGCCAACAGGCGAACCCCGTACCCACAGACAGGCCCCGGGGACGCTGTGTGCTCCCTTCGCTGCGTGAGACGTGGCCCCTCCGCCCGCCTCACCGGGCTCGTCCCAAAGGAGCAGTCTCCTACCCCAGGCAGGTCTCCCGCAAAACTCCGCTCCTGTGGCCAATCCTATAACACTGACCAACAATTTAGTGCCTCCAAAAAGAAACAAGAGTTATTTCCAAGGTTAAACCAAACAGCTCCCCCCTCCTCCCTCTCTCTCACACACACTGTTAAACCAAACAGCTCCCCCCTCCTCCCTCTCTCTCACACACACTCACACACAGAGACACATACACACACACAGACACACAGAGACAGACACACACACACAGACAGAAACACACATACACACACTCTCACACAGACACACACACACACACTCTCACACACACAGACACACACACACACACACACACAGAGACACACACACTCACACATAGAGACACACACATACACACACAGACAGACACACTCACACACGCACACACACACATAGACACACACAGACACATACACACACATACACATACACACACTCACACACACAGACACATACACACACACACACAGAGACACATACACACACACACACACACATAGACACACACACACACGAGATCCAATCAAAAAGGTAGTAGACACTGCTATAATATGAAAGTGCTGAATGGCCTTTTGGGCTAAGTCAAGGCAAACAGCCTGGGGACCCCTTGCTTATGCGTAGGGATGTGGCCCTCTCTGAGGGACGTAAAATCCCGTTTAGTCAGTTAACTGGTCAAACCTTAGTTTAACTGGTTAACTGATTAAGCAGGATGGAGGGAGGCGGCTCCAGCCCAGCTGGAGCAGCCCCCAGCTCATAAGGCTACCGCTGCCCCCATAGTCCCTCTGTGGGGCTGCCACCATCTCTGCCGGTCCCGACCGAGGCTCCTGGCTCCGTGTGGGGCTGCCGGCTCCCACCCTGGGCCACAGCGTGGTGGGCCCAGCCCGGCTGGAGCAGTGCTCTGCCCACGGCAGGCTGCAGGCGGGGCGGCTGCTCCTGGGCACCAGTTAACTGTTACCCAGTAAGGGTTATGCTTACAGGCAACTGGTTAACCAGTTACCCGTTCACAGCCCTGCTCTGAATTCCAAGCAGCACAGTGATAATAATTCTTACTGGACCAGGATTTTTGTGCCCTTGCGAGGATGGGACAAGGGCTTGTGCATATCCCTTCTTCCTACATGCGGGGGAAGCCACCAAGGAAAGTCTTTTATCCTCGGATGTCCCACAGCAGCTTGTCCGGGTCCTTTCTTTGTTGGACAGGACACGACACCTCTTGTGATGAACTAGCGTTTCACAGCTGGGGATGCTCCCTCTTGACTGGGGGGGCTACAGTCTTAGTGAACATTTTTATAGTTACAGAGCAAACACTTACATCTTACCTGGTACCATGGGGTGTGTTTATCACAGGTAAGATCAATACCCAAAGCATCCTACAAGCATTTCTTAAAAGCTAAATACTGAACACATTCTTATAACCTTCATAGCCATTTTACCAGTGCTCACACACAGGTGACTCAGGCCATGTCTATACTTACTGCACCGGAGATTGATCTCCTGGTGTTTGATTTAGAGGGTCTAATAAAGACCTGCTAAATTGAACACTGAGAGTGACCCCAATCAGTTCATGAGGAGTAAGGGAAGTCAACCTCCTGCTATGGAAACAACGCTAGCTCAGCTTAAGGTACTTTGACTCCAGCTATGTTATTTACATACCTGGACTTGCATACCGTAAGCCGACCTTGCTGTTGTAGTATTGATCTGCCCCAGGCAGGTTTTCAGCTACACCTTTGTTGGCCTTCAGTGAGTCTTATTGCTAGCGTACCGTGGCCTGTCATATGCCCTTTGTCAAATTCTGCCCCTGTGTGACAGACAGAGAGCTATGTTAGAGTTAGTTTTCCCTTTTCACAGTTTTTAATTTTATACTTCTTCAGTATTGGATCACAGAGCTAAGTGTGTTACCCAAGATTCTCGCCCCCAGCAAAACCTCTCCGCTCACAGACCTATTGGTTTCCAGACCACTTATATAGGATTTCTTTATAAGCAGGAAAAAACAAAGTTGCCTTGCTGAAAAAAACATACCATACCTTTCACTTTGGGATTGGTACATGGAGAAGTCCCCTGAATTACAAATAGTATAGCACATAAAATGGGATGCTCCAAATTCTGCAGGTGTCCATGGGGTAGAACTTCCTGGTGCCGTCTGGTTGATGACCATCTAGTGTATCTTTCTTTTTGTGAATAGCTGTCTGTGAAAATGGCTGCCAGAACGGAGGTCGGTGCATTGGACCAAACCGCTGTGCTTGTGTCTACGGGTTCACTGGGCCCCAGTGTGAGAGGGGTAAGAAGCAGTTTGCTATATTACTCTCACAAATGTTACTGCAAAAAAGATCATAAAGGTTGCAAATTCAAGCCCTCAAAACTCATAGGGGGGAGGGATAGCTCAGTGATTTGAGCATTGGCCTGCTAAACCCAGGGTTGTGAGTTCAATCCTTGCAGAGGCCATTTAGGGATTTGGGGCAAAAATTCATCACAGAATGGTACTTGGTCCTTCTGGGAAGGCAGGGGGCTGGACTCAATGATTGTTTAAGGTCCCTTCCAGTTCTAGGAGATAGGCCATCTCAATTAATTTAATTTTAAAAAGGAAATGCCAGGTTTGCCCATGCAGAGCTAATTTGGCCCCTGGGCGTGCATGCATTATGACAGAGTCTTTGATGATGTGATCACATACTCTTTTTTTCCATAGGACTCTTGCTTTATTCAGTGCATGCGTGGATAGTAGGTAGCTGTTCACTATTTCTTTATAAGCTTACCTGTCAGTGAATATAGAAATATCAATTCTTCCTGGAGCACTCCAGTAATTTGCTCTTTTTTTGTTCTCTAAAAGGAAGCAGCTCACTCAGCTGTCAGATATTTCCCAGAACTTTGAAAGGGGTTGGGCGCATGCCTGCAAGGCAACAGAGATCACAAAACACTGAGAACAGCCATCAGGGCAGCCATTGTGGGTTACTGACGGAGTCAGTTCTCTTGACAAAACAAACAGCAGAGTCCACACTGGCTCTTTCTCGACAATTGAGGGTACATCTAGACATCACCCTCCTGTTGGAATACGCTACGCAATTTGCACTACATAAATTGTGTTGCTTATTCCGAGTCTAGGTCGAAAGAGCTTATTTTGAAATTTGGCGCTGTGTAGACAGCGTACATTTTCAAAATAAGGCCCTATTCTGACAAATCCCTTGACCCTCGTGGAATGAGGGTTACAGGGACGCTGGAATAGTGCACCTGCTATTTTGGGAAATAGTGGGCACATTCAAAGACGAGGCACTGCTATTTCGGGTTGCTTCTGGTACCCTGAAATAGTGCCACAGTCTAGACATACCCAAAGGGAGGGGAAAAGGCAAAAAGTCTTTTTTTTGTTTGTTACCAAAACTGGGTGTTTTTCCGCTGACAAAAGTTGCATCATAGTGTAAGCGCTTTCACTCTTTTGTCACCAAAAGGCAGATTTTGGCAACAACACATGCCAGTGCAGACAAGGCTTAGGAATGCAAGATGTTTCTTCATTCCCATATTGAAGTGGTTGGCTGCTGACAGGCTAACACAAAGGAGAATAAGGGGCAGATATTCAGAACACTTATTGTCTGATCAGAACCTGGGCTCTCAGCCTAAACAAGAAAAGGTTACTTCTCGTTTCATCTCAAGAGTTGCTTCATAGGGGCAATTTTCAGTTCTGCCGCAGGACGGGCCTTTCTTCCTAAGAGCGGGTTTTTACGTGATGGATCCTGCACATTTGCTGACCACGCGGCTGGTTCACACAACCGGGTTTTTTTCTGAAGCTACTAGGAGGATCCATGTAAGCCCCGAGCCAGATTCAGCATTGTGTTCTGGAGAGTCAGCCCTAGCCCAGGCTGAAGAGAGTTGCAGAACTGCCTGAAACTATTTCATTCTCAAACACGGTGGCTACCCGCGTAGGTAAGACTCCGTGGAATATTATTCCTCATCCGAAGCGAACAGAAAGCAGGCGTGCAGCTGAGACAGGACGAGGGGACATCGCCACGCGTGGGTCGTTGGAGTCTCACAGAGTCCTGGGGTGTCAGCTAAATGGATGGGATCTCCAGGCATCCGTTTGTCCACAGAGGGGCAAACCAGTTACCCAGTTTGCCCTGGGCAGCATGGCTGCCGTGTATGATGCCAATAGACCAGGAAAGACTCGTTCAACCCACTGTAACATGAAGCTGTGGAAACACCCCTGGGTTTACAATTTACGTCTTTTCTGCTAAGAACTAGAAACGTTTGATCCAAAGGAAAGTTTTCTGCAATGTTAGTTAATTTGGGGCAATTTCCTGTTGAAAAAGGTTCCCGTGTAAAATTGTCTCTCGACTATTGTGGGAGACAACGAAACCCTGGGCCAGTGCCTCAGCCGCGGCAGGTCTGGGCAGCGCGTTGAGGTCAGTGGCGGCTGCTGCTTTGCGTTAGCTTCCCCAGCGAGACAGGCTTTGTGTCTGAGCACAGCTGGAATGAGTGAGGCTCTGCTAGGAGGGCTGGAATTTCCTCCTTTCCCCTTGGCTTGGAGGCGCGCCCCCGGATGCTGTCTGCCGAGGGGTGCCTGGCGAGGGCTAGTGCTGCACACAGCTAAAGTGAAACCGAAACACGCCCCAGAGCAGATGTACAAACTCAAAGGATTCACATCAAAGACCTCTGGAAACTTTCCCCCCTCCCAGCCAACTTGCCTTGAGACTGGGAGTGCACGTCTCGTCCCCTGCTCCTGGATTGGCTGGTGCCTGTCTCTAGTGGCTTTTTCCAAGTCCTGAATTCTTGGCAGTCTGATGGAGAGGGTGAGAGCGGAATAACAGTTGGTTTCCGGGAGCCCAGGCAGGCAGGCAGTCCTGCTTGAACTGCAGCCAGGCAAAATACACAGCACTCCCAATAGCCGGGCGGTGTTCTGGGGTCTACAAAAGCATCTGCTGAACACTGCGGGGCAAGTGCCCCGTCAAAGGCCTGCGTGGTTTGTGCCTCGCTTTTACTGGTGGCAAAGAAGTGAAAGCTCTTTAGCAGCCTCGGTTCCTCTCCCTCGTGCTTTGTTACAGAAGCAAAGATTGGTAAGGCTCAGACACACACGCGCACGTACACACAGTATGTAGGAAGGAGCAGTGACGACAGACAGTCCTTATGCAACACCCTGAAAGTTTTCTGCTCCCAGTAACCCAGAAGTGACTAACGTGGGATCTTCCTGTGTGGCGGGGGGCTCAGACTGGGCCCGGAGTGCAGAGGGGGCCGGTTTCCCCTGCTGGCTGAGCAGGGAGCGGGTTACGCAGGTTTGCGTGTGTAGAAGAGGAAGGGTTGTGTTCCGGGAGGAATCTGGCAGACGTGTAAAGAAAGCAATTTCTGGGTATGCCAGAGGATTTGTGTGTGTGTGGGATTTGTTCTATGGATATTGTAATGGACCACATTCCTTAAACACAGAGCGCATTTGTGCAGAGCCTTTGGAGAAGTGCCTTGGCCCACCCCTGCATGAGGAGACAAAACAAGCGCTCCAGCTGTGTACACACAGGCTCTCCCCGGCCAAGGCAAACACAGGTTCTCCCCGGCTTTGCTCTGGCCTGGTAGAAGTTGCACTTTTTTGAGAGGTTCCTGCAGCAATCCCAGGAGGTGTGAGGCTGCGTCGGGGCTGCTGGCATGCACTGCGCTGGCGCTTTCCTCATGGAGCAGGAATCTGGTCTCTCATGGAGTGTGTGTTATGTGTACACACAGGCTCTCCCCGGCCAAGGCAAACACAGGTTCTCCCCGGCTTTGCTCTGGCCTGGTAGAAGTTGCACTTTTTTGAGAGGTTCCTGCAGCAATCCCAGGAGGTGTGAGGCTGCGTCGGGGCTGCTGGCATGCACTGCGCTGGCGCTTTCCTCATGGAGCAGGAATCTGGTCTCTCATGGAGTGTGTGTTAAGGGCCCCTCTCAGCTCTCCACTGGGGAATCAGCGGGGGATTTCTGGTCAGCCCAAGCCACACCAACCCTAGTCGCCCATCGGGGAGAGCCGGGAATTGCAGATTTCTAGGCGTGGGGCTGACTGAGAGGACGCGTCCCCAGTACCAGGTTCACCCCGAAGAATGTCTGTGGATCCAGAATGACCTTCTGTGGCATGGCTGGTGGGGGGGCTGATGTCTCTTCACCTTGCTGCTTGACTTCCTGGAGGTGCAGCTTCCCCAAGGGTGGGGGGGGGCAATAATTTTGCTGGGGTGGCACTCCCAAGAATGTGGAAAGTGGCCAAGGGCTGTACTCTTCCATGATAGCAATGGAAGGGGTGCAGGCTCTGGGACGGGATGTCAGGTGCAGAAGGGAGTTTGGGATAAGAGAGTGGGGTGCAGGAGGGAGTTTGGGTGAGAGAGGTGGTTGTGACCTAGGGCAGGAGACTGGGGTGCAGGGTCTGGGAGGGGATATGAGTGCAGGAAGGAGGCAGAGGGCTTGGGTTATGGGGAGTAGGGAGCAGGAGGGGGGGCAGAGGGTTGAGGGGCAGTGGGGGCTGGGATGCCAGATGCAGGTTCTGGCCGGGAGACTTACCTGGGCAACTCCTGGCCGGCAGCCCAGCAGCTTTCTCAGGCAGGCTCCCTGCCTGCCCCGCCCCAGTGTCAATAGCTGGGTCTGTGAATAGCTATGAGCCTGAGGGGAAGCGGGAGGGGTGCCTTGTGCACTGCCTGTTCTTTAAATAGGCAGCTCCCATTGGCCAGAAACCAGCCAATGGGATTGTGCTGGGGAGGGGGCAGCTCCCAAAGCCCCTCCCTCCCTCTCCCCTGGGTTCTCAGCTGTTCAAAGACAATCAGTACCTACCAGCCGCATGCGGGGATGGGGCAAGCAAGGAGCCTGCCTGAGGCTCCCCTGTGAGTCCGAGGGCTGGATCCAGTGGCTTGGCGGGAAGGATCCGGCCCGTGGGCCATATTGCCCAGCCCTAGGGCTAGGGCTGCCAGGTGGCCACTCGTCTTCCTCTTCCCCTCTCCCTTGGCTCCCAGAACAGCTTGGGTCCCCCCGGGATGGCACGGGAAGTAGGGATGTAATAGTGGAGTCCGTTATCCCAGTAACCGATACACAAAAGCTTGTAGGTTAATGCTACAGACAACGTGCACTCCCCCCCCACACCCCCGCCAGTACATTCGTTAGCAGGCTGGCCAGCAGCCTGGCTCAGTCCCGACTCGTACCGGCTCCTGGACCTGCCCCCGCTGCGGCTCTGCATGTAAAGTGTATTAGGAGTCGGGGGGCAGGCACCAGCTCACGCCGGGCCCAGGAGCTCAGACCCCCCCCAGACAGGGGATGCTGCCGCCCCACACTCCCCCCTCTTTATCAGAGGCAGCAACAC